GGGTGCCCGAAGGTATGAAAGAAACCCAGGGGGGGTGGGGGGGGGGGGGGTTCGGCGGCGCGTTGCATGGTAAAGCAGCATGCATGCTACCTCTCATGAGGGGACTCGTCAACTTGGCTGCTACAACTCGGAAGGGGTTCTTTTGCTAGAGAGCACTTTTCACGTCCAGAGAGGGGGATCCACCCAGAAAGGTGTTTATACTGAACGAAGAGCCCCAACAGTAGATGCCTTCCCACCCACAAGGGGTCTCCAATGAAAGAGGGGTTAACATGTATTACAGGGATTTTCCAATGAAACAGGGGTTTGCATGTGTTCCACACTTAGAGGGATTTCCACTGCAAAAGAGGAGTTCAGATAGTGGAGGGGTTCCCATCCACAAAGGGTTTTCACTGAATGAAGTGTTCCCAGAGTACATACATGTGTTCCCCCGACTGGACAGGCATGTAGGCCACTACATCAGGGAAACTTTAACTTTTAGCAGCAACGTACCCCCGGTATCTCGAGGACAACCGGCCGATCGCCGACCTCTCCATCAAGGACGACGCCCAAGGGTCCCGGGGGCACCGTGACCTGCGACGATGGAGCAGGGGTAGGCGAACGGTGAAATAGTAGGCGTAGGCAGACACACAAAGACCGAGACTCGGGTGCACGAAAGAGGGAGATGCACGTCAACGTCAACGTTAGCGGAGGGCAGGTTGTGTGGTTTAGGGTCACCATTTGGGCGAGCAAAATGTGTCCGTTCGTGGACACCAACGGGACTGCTGATAGTCGTCGCAGCACAGCAGCAGTTGAACAGCAGCAGCAGCAGCAGCAACAACAACAAAAGCGACAGCGGCAACAGCAGCAGTACAATACAACACCGATAGCAGCAGCAACAACGACAGCCACCATAGCAGGGCACCTTTCGAGGGCGGTCCAAAGTGCCCATGTTACGCCTGCGACAACCCAAACCAATCCAAAAACGCCAACCACACTTCCTCACACCCAACCCTCCAAACACATCCCTCACCGTGGCCTGCACCCTGGCCCAAATCTTAGCGTCCGCAACTTCAGAGACACCATCCTCCATGGGCGCGGGGTGAAATAGTGTCCTGTCCTTCGTCGATATCGCTTTTCTGACAAGGCTTTCCGGGTTAAGGGGATGGAGAGAAGCGTCCCCCCCCTCGTCGCCCCCTCCGAGGGCATCGGCATTCGCCTGGAAAATATCTCGAGGGTAGGTTTCCACCACCTGTGGGGGGCAAAGATCGGGGGGGGGGAGGGGGGGGGCAAGGATTTCAGTCTCAGACCGTACGATGAAACGGGCGACTGGTGATGATGAATGGCCTACTGCTGTTACAGCAAAAACTTCATAATTATTCTCGGAGCAACAGCAAATATGCCCGTGTGACAATCATCCCCCTGGTGTATCACTCCCTTCCTAGAAATCGCTCATTTCCTTCCCAGAACTCGAGAAGGTGGTGCATAAGGGTGCCAAGCTAAAAAACGGGCACCGAAACGGCGAGAAACACGGGCACCAAAACGGTAGTAGAAACAGCAGAGCGTAACGGATCCTCGCAACAGCAACAAACACGCCGACACAACAGCAGAGTGAGGGGATGCTCAAAAACGGCACTGGTGGGCAAACAAATAAACAAAACACCTGAACGACGTGGGTGCGGAAGTTGTGTTCCTTCGAGAAGAGAGCAGACGCCTCCTGCTGCAGCCACCGCACGCTGTCGTTGGGTCCCGCGGTAACGATGAAGGACTCCCCGTGGATCACCTGGCAGGGTTAGGGTTAGGGTTGGGGTTAGGGTTAGGGTTACCTGGCAGGGTTAGGGTTACCTGGCAGGGTTAGGGTTACCTGGCAGGTTAGGGTTAGGGTTAGGGTTAGGGTTAGGGTTAGGGTCACCTGGCAGGTTAGGCCGGGGCACACACGTGCGTTGGGCGGTGTTTTCTCGTGCACCTCTACACGTTCTTGCCATTCATATGTGCCCAATCACGTGCGCCTCGCTTGGTGTTCTCTCGTGCACTCTTGTGATTCTTACATACTCCACCAGTCGTTCTGCTGCATCGACCACCAACCACATACTGCCTAAGTTTCTCACTGCTGTATAAACTCCACCGACAAACCGCCACACAAAAACGCAAAAACTGTTATATATACTCCATGGACAGCATTACACCAAACAAACACCGGAGAACCCGTAGATAGATGGCATTGTTTGTGGCAATAAAAAACCAGGCGACACACCACAGCACTCACCACTTCCACCCTCATGCTCTCCACCTCATCCAGGGGCGCAAGAGCGAACCCAACCGACCCCCGCCCCGTCAGCCTCCTCGATCCCCGAGACCCAACACTGCCTCCTTTGCCTGCCCAAAACCCAAGTGTATAGTCGGCGTTTGTTAAAACAAGTGGAAAAAATATACAATTGAGGTACCCCCGGGGTGGTTAACATGGCCCACACACACCCTTTGATTGCTGGACATATCAAGAGGAGGGGAGGGGGGGGTTGACGAGAGGGTGTGTGCGTGTTGATGAAATGGCGGCGAGAGGGCGCGCACACCAAAAAATATGCCAGCAGCGTCAAGGACATCCCGGCTCTTGTGTTTGGAAAGTTGGAAAAAACTCCAGCAGCGTGGTCCAACAAGCTCACCCAAGCTGGCTTGTAATGGTGCGATGCGCATACGACGTGCGGGTTGATGCGCGTGTGAAATATTGGCAACATGCTAACCGTTTGATTCAGTAGCAGCTTGTTATAACCGTCCAACGTGCACGTCGGATCAACCACAACTCTGGCGGGTTTCACCGGGAATGCGGCGTGACTGCGCAGAAAACATGGGGGTATTCATTGCCCGTGCGTCGGGTAATTTCTTGAGACAAGGTATTGCACTGCACGCCTCTGACAAATACGAGAACAAGAAAAAAACTCACATCCACCACAACACAGCTTGTCTCCAAATTTTGCAACTTCCTGGAGACCCCCCCCCCCCCCCCTCCCCCATCCCTCCCCGCGGGAGTGATACAGATCGGATAGATAGGAAAGGGAAAACGTGTTTGAGCCACCTTTGGCCAAGTAGGAGAAGCCAAGTAGGAGGGAACAGCTGGCTCCCGGCGATCCGTCCTGAGGGACCAACGCTCCGTATTTACTCTCGATTACCCGTGGTCGATGGTCCAAGAACGAACGAATTCAATATATGAGTACCCGTCTCCCCTGGTGTGCTCCGTCCAGGCTTTGTAGGGATGCAAGGTCAATGGTCTAACGACTACGGCAAACACGGCTATGAATACCCCCCCCCCCACCGGCCATCGAGAGCCTGGCCCGGTGAGAACCCGGCGTGCTCCGTCCCGGCTTTGTAGGGATGCGAGGTCAATGGTCTCACGACTACGGCTTGCACGACTCTGAGTACCCCCCCCCCCCCCCCCCCCCCCCCCCTTGGCTGTGAGCCTTCTCCAGCCCCGGCGCGACCAAGAACTGAAGCTGCTGCCCAACTCATCCTCCGTTTCCCCGTTGTAATCCTCCTCCACAACAACCCCCCGGCGGATGTAAAGGCGCCCCCTCACCCCCGTCCCGTGCTCCCCGGCGGCCGGGAGGGCCGGGTTGGAAGATGTGAAATCTCGGAACGAGGAGGCGTAAGTCCTGGAAACCAGGGTACACAATGGTTTTTTTTTTTTTCATTCTTTTTTTTTTTTTTGGGGGGGGGGGGGTGCTGTGGTTGTCGTGGGGGCGTAACTTCTAAAATTAGCGCATGGTGGGTGCTGTATGGGGTGTGTGCGAGTGCGATGATGATGTGGCGGAGGCACACTTCGTAAGTGTTGAGTGTTTTCGATACGGGGCTATGGCGGAGGAGCGCATGTTCCGCGTCACCCCCAATCTCCAGATATCCCCTTTGCGGAGGGGGGCACCGTCAGATCGACCCTCTCCCCCACGACAAGAGCATCATAGCACCGGTAGCGCACGGGCCAGCCTGACGAGAGCAGAGGGCATGGCCCTGACTTTGCGGCAATGCGGCACAAGAAACGAAGCCACACATCAGCGTGGCAGCAAAACACCAGTTCAAAGGCTGAAACGTCACGAGAGCACGGAAGAAGAAGTAACCCAGCTACCGTAGGTATCATGACGTAAGATATCACACCCCCTGGACCGATTCTCAAAGCTCGGTGTCTCCACGGCGAAGAAGATGCCAACACCAAACGACACGTTTTCGGAAAGCTCTCGACGAGACGGTTGTAACGCCGATATTTTCGGCACCGCAACCACTCTTCCTGGTGTGGAGTTATTAATCGAGCCATGAAAAATCGGTCCAAAGGGGCTGTTGTGATGGTGCATCTTCGTCACCTATGGTATGTACTGCTGTACATCAATAGACTAAAAGAGCCCAGTACAATTCAGCAGGTTTTTCCGCCATTCACTGAAAAGACTTCAACCCATCCCCTTCGGCCGCTGTGGTAACGTAAATCGACTCAAAATAAGAATCCAGCAGTTCTTTTCCCCCCGTTCACTGGAAACCCTTCAACCTATCCCCCGCGACTGCTGTGGTTGTATCTCAAACGGGCAGTATTTCTTTGATCGCATATATTTATCTATGTATACTTCCTGAAGCCCGATTAGCTCACCATCCCTCGTCGTCGCAGCGAGTGTACGACTTGTCCAGCTCCCACCCTGTGTCCCCTTCCCCCCAGACGCATCCCGCCGGCGGCCGCGAGTCCAGCCTCTCGCGCCAACCACCCCCCGTGTGATCGCTGTACCGACCGGGGTCTGACTTCAAGAGGTATCTGCTGCTCCAACCCTGGGATCGGCACACACAGAGAAAATAATTGAAAAAATTGATAAGCATTTGGGGGGGTGTTTTTGTTTCATACAACTTCGTGGTTGCCGTAGCTGCGTGTTGTCCGCTCAGATAGAGCAGTGGGGAGTTCGATGTGGTGGGGTAGCTGACAATGACTGCTTGATATACCGGACATTCACCTTATATCGGGCAACCGCCTTATTCGCACCACTTGGTCTTGCTGTCGGTTCTATGTTCACGTACAGCATTGGAGGGTCCGATGTAGGGCTGTGGTGGTGTAGCTGAAAAAGGCCGCTTTTGATACCGGGCAACAGCAGTCTTAAACTGGGCGATATCGGGCAATTACATTATATCCTCATATTGTAGGACAACCGCCTTACGTCGGGCAACCGCCTAATATCCCAACAGCTGTGCTGAATTTCTTGTGCTTGTGATGCGGGAATGAAAGGCCGTCCGTCCGCAGTCATGGGCCTCGCTTTCGTTTGGCGTGGCAAAGTGAGACCAACAGATGAGCGTATTGTCCGGCAGGTTGGTTGTCTACTGTATGGACAGATAACGTGAATGTGCGCTCCCCGAGGTTGAAGGTGGGGGGCATCTCAACTTGCCGGCATTAGTACAGACCCTCCCCCGTTCCGATGTGGAGCATGGCGTGCATTCTTCTATAAATTTGACGCGGCACAGGCACGACTCTTACACTAGCATCGGCCGCACGAACCGGCTGAGCAACGCGAATACGCCCAGAGGGCTATTGCACGACGAGTACAGCCTGCTCCAACTGAAACCTTACCCTACTACCGTATGTTTTTTGTTTTCATGTCATCCCATTTGTTCTGCACGTTGGTCGTTACCACCTTTCTTCCGGTATCTACAACTTCTAGAATTACACCGGGCGGGGTCCCAGCTATGTGGATCGTGTGCGCTCGTGAACGGGCTTCCACCAAACTCACTGCTGATCTATCTTAGACTCTTTTCTTAGATAGAGATGGATTCGTTGGGTCATATTCAGAAGAAAAAAAAAAACCATCATGCCTCTCGGGTGGCTGTCGTCTGGTTGTGTGTGTGTGTTGATGCCTCGGAGTCCCCGCGGACCACACGTGGTGCGCTGAAACGTCCCCGTGTTCCTTTCATGTTCGAACACTGCTGTCACACATGTACACACGGTTAGTAGGTATAAAAGTCCTATGTATGTATTATAGGACGACAGGACAAAAGGACACGCAACAGGAAAGAAGGAATTCTGGGATTCTGAGTTCACCGTTCCGTGTTCCCTCATTTTCGTGAGGGGGATGACCAAAGCCCCATGCCCTTGAGGCTTACGGCAGCGGTGGGACTACTTGACGTGAACACGCCTCCTAATACAATCCGCGTCCTCCGCCGACAGCAGTAGTGGGACCGCGGAGGAACTTGGGCGATACAGCAGTAGGGTGCATGTGTCTTGTCTTGCCATGCCAAATGTGCTGACGTTGGTTGCAAAACCTCTCGGTACATATTATTGGACACATCCGGGTCTTTTTAGTTTTTTTTCTTTTCTTTTTTTTGTCTTCACTTCATATCAGCGCTCACAGCACTACAGCAGTACCTCCTGCGGTAGTTTAACTTCGATTTTTAATGCGACAAGAGTTCAGCACTTTCATCACCCTAAGTACACACGAACTAGCGCTATCCACTAGGCCAGAAGCGGAAGCGAGAGAAAAACTTACTTTGCAAGAAAAGCTCGCTTACGCCGGGATTCGAACCCCTGGCCTGACCTCTATTATACAAGGTTTCGAGGATACCAACTAGACCACCGGGGCGATTTACCGGCTATATTCTTGCGGTATTCTTCTTTGTTTTTTTCGAAGAAGTGTGTTCTTTGGCTACTGATGTGCTACAGCAGTACTGCTGTGACCACGGAAGGCGTCCGTGTCTACGGATGGGTGTTGGAAGGTACTGAGCAGAGACCGGAACGGTTTGCAATGTGAACGTAACACCACCACCACCAACAACAACAGCAAGCCGGGTGATCACACCGACACAAGAATTGTTTCATTGTTCTCCTGCGGTACCGTGTCAACATGTGTACCGTATTCTGTAGGGGTACGCGTACAATGTAGAAGACGTTCTACAAGCAACGTTCTACAAGCAGAGCTTTTGTTGAAAGCAGTTATAGTCGTGATGTACATGCAACTTCTTCCCAAATATTCATGAGCAAAGTTGTTTATTCGCGCCATCTGCTACAAGGGATAGGCGTTGTGGCTTGCCTGCACTACAGCAGTACATAAATCTCCGCGATTGTCACGATAACAACCATCAGCTGTTCCACATGCACACAAACAGTAAATTGTAAATTCCGCACCGGTCTTTTTTTTTTTTTCTGCGCGTATCGAACATTGGTGCTGCAGCATGCATGGTATACAACTACAGCTGCCATGTCACCACTGCCATTGCAAAGCTCCCAGCACCAAAACATGCACACCTCCCCTTCCATTCGCAGTTTCTCGTCCTGGTTTCCCGCGGGGCTATTTGGTAGGCACGTACCGTAGCCACCTACACTCACCTTGAACTTTCTATACCGCTGGTTTTGAAACAGCTCGACCACTTGTTCCAGACGCTGAGCCCCAGGGGCAGCCGCCGCCGCCGCCGCCGCCGCAGCCATCCCTCCCGCCTCACAGCGTGCCAACAGCTGTCGGACAAAAGTAAGCACCCCCGACCAGAAAACCTCTATGTCCTGCTAACGTCCCCTTCCTTCTCGCCTACGTCCCGGTCGTACGGAAGCGGACAATTCCCCGCTTTCCTGTCCTTCGCTCTCTTTGGCGGCCGTTGGTGAAATCCGCTCCTGCTTCCGAGTTCCTCTCCCCAAAATTATTTCCTGCGTTCAATTAGAGAGGGGAGTCGAGCACGTCGTCTCTTGTCTACGCTGGTGATGACAACTTCAACCGAGATGCCAGGGGCAGAGAAGAAGCAACGGCAGTCGTAGACAAACTACGTGGGTTCGTGGGTTGGAGATGTGCGGCAGGGGGGGGAGAGATGGGGCCGTTATGTGTGTGATCCCGGCATCACCGACATCACAAACGTCTGCTATACGCATGGCCAGAATTTATGTTGATGTGTGCGTCGTGACAAGTCCTGGAGAAAGCTCACGCTTACCTTGGACAAACGTGTCTCTCCTATAGTAGCGGAGAAGGTTGATGCGTCTGTTTCTCCTCCTCCATTTGTTTCTGTGTGATCTCTCTTCAAGGGAAGAGGACAGACGGACTGCTGTCTCGAAAGGCGGCGAGATAGCACACGTTTCGGGTTTCGGGCTGCGACCTGCGCATGCAGCATGCAGGGCTTTACCCGGCAGAGAGAGCTGCAGCAGTAGCAGAGAGCCGAGAGGACCTGCCAGACAACAGATGTGAGGCCAAGGGACAAGAGGAACCGGCCACACACTATGTAGAGGTTGTTAAAAGGAGAGGGTATGGCCCTGGTACCGACCCCACAAGGTCGTATACTGCTGTAGACAAGAATCATCATAGGGTCTGGCTCTTGGCTCTTGCGTGCCAACCAAAGGCAGCAGATGCGGCAAGCCGTAGTCGCCTCCAAAAGACCTCGGTTTACGCGTGCATACATGCATACGGCCGTCTCTATAATGCAAGACTATCTCGGTCGTCTCGTGTAAGTGCGAACTTACATTGGTCACGTGATCAAGTCTATGCGCTCTCATATTATCTACCACAGCAGTATTAGGACAAATAACCAGTCTACACACACAGAAAGACTACCCGTACATTGGCAGCCAGGAACAGGTTAAACGAAGGGTGTTCGACGCACACGTCCATGGCACGGGTAGCCCCGTAAGCACGCACCCCAACCAACGGCCTCTGTTGACCCACTCCCGAACAGCAGTTCTCCCACTAAATTTTTGCCCGGCTTCATTGGATGTTTGTTCCCCTTGGCGTAAGCACCGTATGGCATGCTCCTTTTTCAAAGGCTTGTGCATTCGATCGCTCTATCCCTCAGCCTCTCACAAGACAAGACCTGCGGTGCCGTACCCATGAGATACATCCGACAGCAAGCGTCTACGCGGCCCACTAGTCTGCAGCAGCTGTATGCCCATCTCACGCAGGCCCTACGAAGAAAAACCAACACGAGAATCTGCTTCGGGGCGCCCGTTGCTTCCGCCAGACCTTGCCGAATAACAGAATTACCTCACCATACCACACGAGGTATCTCCTCCCACTTCACCGTGTACCGCCCGTATCCACAATCAACTATCAAAATCCCGATTGACAGCGAGGACTCCCGCATACCGTATTCTTCTCACACGGAACCGACCCGGACTTGGGTCGATACGGACTGAGAATTGATTACGCACGCACCAGCTGTCACAAACACAGCAGCAATACTACCAACAACAATCGAAAGGTTCGAGGGGGAAGAACAAGGTCGCTGACCTTTCCCCCGCCCGCCCTCCATATTACGGCAACGGATATATCGTAGCAACGAATGAGCAACCCAAGGGGCATCACCGCCGGCTTCCGGACAGGGGACCATCGTCTACCTCCGGACAGAAACAACCACCACCGCCGCAGCAGTGCAAGTAGCAACATTGCCGCAGCGGGTAGCACCATTGCAACACCGGAAGCAGCACACTTCGCAGCAGCGGAAGTAGCACACTTTGCAGCAGCGCCAGTAGCGCGACCGCAGCAGTGCAAGTAGCACGATCAGGGGTAGCGCAGCGGCAGCAGTAGCAGCAGCAGCAGCAGCAGCAGGGTAGAACGGCGGCCCCGGCGACCACACCGACGACGACGACGGCGACGCGCAGCGTGGCAACTCGCAGACATGGACAGATCGAGCGAAGAGCAGGGGCAAGTAAGGAAGTCTACCAGTCCCCGCCGTAGCCCCCAGTGTCCGCGAGCACGTCTCTCTGCGCGCCGGCCTTCTGGCTGGCGGTCTTGTCGATCTTGGGGCAGTTGGTGATGCGGTGGCCGAGACCACCGCAGAACGCGCAGCCCTTGACTCCGTCCACCTGAGAGTGTGAAACAGCGATAAAAGAAGGAAAACTGTTAACAATCGAGCCAGCACGTGTGTATTCTACGCGTCTGCTGAGGCCTCCTGTTCAGGGCGAATAACACCAAGTGTTATACTCCAGGTGCCACCATCGCCCTGCAACACAGCAACACCCTCGCGCATATCCCGTGGAGTAGCAAAAACACAAGGGGATTTCAAACATATTCCTTGCTTTGCGATGAAAAAATACCGATGTCTCTGAAAAGTTAACCCACCCCTTATTTGCGCTGTGTGCAATTGATCCCACTGTTCCGGAACGAATAACACCAACGTTGCACACCTTCAAGCTAACTCTTGCCGCGAAGTGCCATGTAACACTACCACCATCCGCAACAAACAAGAAGCGCGTCGTTTGGCTACATACCTCGTCCATCTCCTGGTCGGGGTCTTCCAAAGCCATGAGGACGGGGGGCACCCGCTGCTGGGCCTCCATGAGAAGGTGCTTCAGATCCAGCAACGCTGACTCTTCCACCATCTGCCGTGATCGAAAACACGCATTGATCATGAATATAGTTAGGTTTCGGCATCATGCTGGGCCGCAAAACCACGGGTGTGGTGTACTGGGGGTAATACCTGTTTCTTTTTTTTGGGGGGGGGGGTGTTATCTTGTGTGCAACACGGTAGCGTCCACTTCCATGGAAAGATGAACACAGAGCCCGTGACACTGCTTGCCTTGTTGATGAAAGTAGTTGCCACCCCGGTCTTCCCGCAGCGACCCGTCCGACCGATCCTGTGCACGTAGTTCTCGATCTCATCGGGCATGTCGAAGTTGATCACGTGCTGGATGTCGGGGAAGTCCAGACCCTTGGCGGCGATGTCGGTGGCGATCAACACGTCCTTGACGCCCTCCTGCGGTGACACAAACACGCACGCAAACGGGGTGCACATGTGAGTCTCGCTGAGATTTCGTGTACTCTTTGTGTGCGGGTCGACCATCGACGTCAGCACGTCCCTGGACCCTTCGTGTGATGGGCAAAGGAAGCAAGACTGCCGAACGATTCGATTCATGTCATGTTTGGATTGTACACGGCCACATGTAACCTGCGTACAGTAGGAGTCCCTTATAAGGCCGCACGTGACAAGGGATTTTGTCCGCCTTACATCGGGTACCCGGGAAGACTATTCATAGCATGAGGCAGGTTGAGTATTCCATCTGCGTGACACGATTTCACCGGCCTTTCACAGGCGTACCGTCCTAGTTTTATGCGGGCTTAAACGGTGACCACTACTGCTGTATCATGGTAAACAAATCAAGCACGATCCTATGCAGCTAGAGAGAGCCAATGTTGTGCTCCAAACAAAGGGACAAACACGCGCAAACACGGCTAATCTATGCACCATGATTGGTCAAGTGCAATGAACGAGAGGACGTTTTACGTCCAGTGGACAGCGTATACAACACACCAAACAAAATACATACCTTGAACAGCTTGATGGCTTCATTTCGCTCCTCCTGCTCTTTCCCACCGTGGATGGACACGGCGTCCACTCCCTTGAGCAGCAGATACTCGTGGATGTCGTCCACATCCTGCAAGTCGTATGTTTTGAAACGTATACATATGCGGAGGAATGAATTGCATATGCAACTAGAGATGCTTTCGAACATTCACAGCGTCCACATCCCACGCGAGAATAGCATCCGCATCCCACGCCCGCATGTACGCACGGCCGACGCGTTCCTCTCTCAACAACTCTGGACACATGTCACTGCTCCGGAAAATAAAGGGCCTCTTGCTTTGCCCGAGGCCCATTTCGGATTCCGATGTGGGTATCGCAACATCGACTCTGTAGGGTTATGGTGTAGGATTCTTAGCTGAACATGTTGTTAAATGGTGAATTATTAATTCTCATCTTTTTCGAGCCTGCATTTCTTCACTCCCAGGTGAGTGGCGGCGCGTGCTGTACGCTCAATCAATCCTACGAAGGCACCGGGAGAAAACATCAAGAACTCAATGCAGCATTTGATGCTCCTGTACTACGCATACACCTGACCACAAGGTGTGCACAGCACGAAACATGCAGACCGTCTCGTGCACCGTTCTCGTCGGGCAGATAGACAACGCAAACCGGGGGGTAGAATAAGGGAGACGTTGACATAAGAATACAACTGGAAGACGGTTCTCGTCTGAGCACACACTAGCGAGGGTGCTTTCTTCTCTCACAAACACAGGATTGTTACCGCACTGACGCTGACGTGCTATCATTGAATAGTCGTATAGCGCGGCCGATGCTTAAAAAATAGAGAGAGAGACACACACATACATTACGCACGACCACACGCACACGCTCACACGGACACACCTGCTTTTTCTCGCAGAAGATGCACACCGGCGGCGCGGTCTTCTGCAAGCACTCCAAGAGATACACGATCTTCGCCTCCTGCTTCACGTACTCCACCTGTCCTCGGGCAAGGTAGAAGGTGCAACAACCGACCTCGACTTAAAAACAAAACTTCCTTTCTTCAGTGCTATATAGGCTGCTTGATTCATATCAAGTTACGGTTTTCCCGAGAGGTGGCCTTCAGCGCCAGAGCAACGTCGCAAGACTTTCAGGAGAGCAGGATTTTGACGAAAGACTTCGACATGCCATGCTAGGTCAAAATCATCTCTCCCGAAATGAGCATGAAAGGCAGGTGTATCGATGACGTCACGCAACCACTGGTGCATATACGACAGCACCGGAGGAACCAATCGGAGCGGAGGATCTTGATTATCATTGGACAACAAGATACCCCCCCCTCGGGATTCGTCTCTTTCCTAAACAACCTGTTTTTTTTTTTTTTTTCACTGTATCTAATACAAGTGCGTTCATTTTTTTTCATTTTTTCGTCGTGCTATTCGTGTACCGATGCACCTACCTCTTGGATAACGTCCAGGTTAGCGGCTCCTGCACGGCCGACGTTAACGAGGACCGGCTTGACGAGAACGTCCTTCGCGAAGTCCTGGAACTTTTGCGGCATGGTGGCCGAGAACAGGAGCGTCTGCCGCTGCTGCTTGAAGTGGTTCATGATCTTCTGTACCTGCATGTTTTTTTTCGTTGTTGTTTTTAGGGGAAAATATCTTAGAAACAGAAAGAAGGGTGTGGCCTGCCAGACACCGGTACGCAGCGGTACAACGGCTACCGGGAAACTTGAGCATCTGAATCCTACGGCTATACTCCTACAACATTGTGGAACGCCGAAGGTTCGGATACGAGAAACGTCAAATCGGACCCCAGGTTCAGTTTTTGATTTCATCGCCACTGTCGAGCACAGGTTGAAAAATACCGTTGAGCAAAGTTTCTTAGGCCTATTCTAGTGTTTTTCGCGAAAATTTGAGCCTCCGTCCGTCCATTAACGAAACAATTCCTAACTGCGGGCCCGTTCTGTAGTCATACTGGCGCTTGTACGGTGAGGAACATGGAAACTCCATGCGACCAAAAAAACGTCGAATCCGTTTTAGAACAGACCCAGTATTGCCCGCCTCACCTCTTCATCGAAACCCATGTCCAACATTCGATCCCCTTCGTCCAGACAGATGTACCTGTGCGGAAGACAAAAACAAGATGACAGCATAGCCGAGAACGACGTCTTTTTTGGTTGCGTGTTGTTCAAGCCCTTCTCGGTGCCGTCCCGCATGTTGCTAGCCACAGTTAAAGCTGTTCCGCATGCAACACCTCTTATGTGTTCAGAACTCTGCCTCACACTTCCACACCCCGCTGTCACCCAACTAATAGCAACAAAACCGCTTTCGCGCGTGAAAGGCTAGCCCCAAAAAGGTACAAGTACAACCAGTGCAGCATATTTAAAAGCGGAAAACCTTTTATGTAGTAGGAGCACTACGAAAAAGGGGTCAACCCCCCGCCCTCCCCTCCACCCCCTGTGGTCTCCGATGTTGTTTTTCCGGCGTCAAGTAGGGACGATATTGGCACCAGCAGAGGGGGCAACACAACGCGTCGCTGCAGGAGTCGTCTCTCACTTGCAGAGGTCGAAGTGGACCTTGTGGGTGTGGAGGAGGTCGCTGATTCGGCCCGGAGTGGCCACGATGCAGTGGACGCCCTGCCTCTGAATCGGGTCGATCTGGCTGCGCTTGTCCTCCCCGCCTGAAGATCGCAACAAAAATCCCCCCAAGCACACAACCACGAAAAAAAAAAATGAGCGTCGTTAATAGCAGCTTACAAAAAGACAACAGAGACAAAAAAGACAGACATGAAGATTTTCATCGCAGCAAAACAAAAACAACCCAAAACTGCGGCAGGCGCGAAGACGCTTAACTGCACGACATCGACAGACTCTCTACACACTTACAAGCTTCACGGGGTAAATAACAGCCAGCAGCGGCCCGCTTCTAAGCTTAAAAGGACACTTTTCTTGGCCGAGCTAAAAAAAAAATATATGTTTTCCACCATCGGGCACACAGGCTACGGCTAGGCCATACACAGGACTAAGCGCGGCGCTAGCGGCTGAGCCAAGTTTCGTGCGGCAAACTTCTTATACCCCCCAATCTGTGACTTGTCCATATGAGCGGGCCTCTCATTGTGTGTGTGTGTCTTTATTACTAGCATCGACCGCGGTAACCGGTTGACCAATGAAAAGACGTTAGTCTCAGTGAGGTTGAAAACACGTAACACTTCTAAATGCCATTAACTGGGACTACGTGAGGGGGCGGCATGGGGGAGGCTAAGCTATTCTCCGGAGTGAAGACAGAAATGGTAGCAACAGAGGAAACTTATGTGTGTGTGTCTTCGCCCCATCTATTCATTGCCGTACTTTATGTCGCTCTCACCGATGCACAGAACCGTACGCAGCTCGGGAAAGCCCCCTCTGTGCAGGTGCTTGCAGAAGTAGTCCACGACGTCGAACGTTTGTCTCGCCAGTTCTCGCGACGGACACAGGATAACCCCAAACGGGCCCTCTCCTCCCACCACCGGCAGTTTCATCTCCTGGAAAGAAGAGGCCAAACGTTGATATATTAACATCTTTCGGCATGTTTTCGGGCCCACATAAAACAAAAAAATACAAAAAAAACTCCTGTGTGACTTCCTCTTGTGTGAGCGCGGCTGATGCGTCAGGTATACACGCCGAAAGGCCTGTACAACCGGCGCCAGAATAGATGGGACGAACAAACACACACACACACACTACCCGCTGAAGAAAGACCAACACCAATCAACAACAACGAGACTAGCTCGTCTTAAGCTTGTCGGGACCCACTCACCTCCTCTAGCGCCAGCATGATGAGGGGGATGCTGAAGGTAACCGTCTTACCCGACCCCGTAAAGGCGATTCCGATCATATCCCGTCCGGATAACGCCACTGGAACTCCCTGGACCTGCGGGTGAATGTCGACAGGGATGGAAGAATGCGCACACCGGACGCAACAATATTACCAGCGGTTATGACGATCGTAGTGCTAGATTTTGGGATTAGCAACTGACACGAGTTTAATGTGAAGACAACAACAACAACAACAACAAGTGCAACATGGCGCATTGAGAATTGTGTGCTAATGGCGGTGCGAGCTGGACACAACGGCGTTGCAGCAGTTGTTGTCGCTCATCGACGACTTTGTCTTCAGAATAGAATACCGCGTCCGTATCTCCACCCACTGCCAGTGGGGTTTGATACAGCTGTCATCCGGGTTTCGCAGAAAAAAATATCGCCCTGAGTTACGGCTGTTTAGTGGCTATGACATTGTGAGTACGTATAAATATTCAAGAGAGCTCCACTTCCACTTTCGATGCCGCGCACACGCTCAAGTATCAGCTACCATGACAAAACACACGTCGCCACCATCACTTCTCCGTCAGAAACAACGCCAACAAATCGGACACAATAATAAAAACATACCAATACGGCGCATGAATTTTGTTGCGCAACGCTTCACCTGGATAGGGGTGGGGCGTTTGATGCCCTTCGCCTCAAGCGCGGCCAGCATCGGATCCGGTAGTTTCATCTCCCTGAACGACTTGATCGGCGGAGGAACCTTCTCCCCCTGGGTGTGTAAAAAATGACACACACGTTGAGTAAAGTAAAAAGTGAGAAGTTGTTCTGGTCCTTTGGTCGTGGAGGATTGATCGGAGGGTGCATGCCCCGTTTCTTGCTCTCGCTGGTGTAGAGGATGATTGATCCTCGACGAGCGATGTTCTCGGTGGTGCTTCTCTGAACGGTCTCCTTCCTGATCGGTAGCTCTGCCATTAATCTTGTTTACGTTATCGTTGCTGGTCCCACTGGCAGAAGCGCTTATGTAACGGGCCTTTCTCGACGTTGCCCCGTCATCGAAAAAGCATGTCGGTGTGCTTATCTTTGTCGCTGTCTCTGTCCAAACTATTCTTTCGATCCAGCTGTTGTTGGTATTACGACAAACGGACATTGGCGGTAGTCTGCCCCCCCTTCAAAGCGGTACGGTACTCTGGAAGTTTCTCATGATTCTTGTTCCAGGGCATCCGAAACAACAACAACAACTCACGTCTACGAGAATGCTCCACTTTTCCCTAAGCTTATCGCAGTCCTCCTCCGTCATGTCCCTGTAGTACTTAGGAGGCCGCCAGGACGTTGTCAACGCCTCTGTGTAGCGGGTGCCCTTGGCCACCTCGGCAGCACTCATCAAAGCGTTCGTTTGGACCTGTTCGCGAGACACCGATTGCATACGGGAGCATTAATCAAGGCGTTGTTTGTTTGCACAAGTTTGCAAGACACCGTTTACATACTGCGTCGGGAGCAGTCTCGCCAAAGCGTTTTGGTTGCACCTGTACCGGCTGCATGTTGCGTTGGGACCTCTAACTGCTGTCCTCACAGGAAAACTTGAAAGCAGGCAAGGACCACACAATCAGTGTACTACTGGGTTGGCCACCAACATGGAAGAGCTATGCACACACCGGGAGCCCGAGCCATCTCTGCTCTCGAAGAAGTTGCTCGCAAAGGGCTGAAAGCACGCGGCATATTAAAAATCACTCTGTTGTCTCGAGCACTGCTTTCCACAGGCAACTTGAGGGCAAGCATTGCCACACAGGTGGCGGAAAAAATGAACTGACTTGCGCCTAAAATATACGGGTTGCTTACAACGTGGGTCCCATGCACAGTACTATCCTAGCAACGAGGTCCCTTAAGAGCAATCGCTTGTGCCCGCACTGCTGTCGTCGCTGGAAAAGCTTCGCATCCGGAACACTCTGACGAAATACATTTGCCGGTGCCATTACTAACCGTGCCACCGGCGGAATCCACTACGACGCCAACACGTAACGCCGACAACGGACCTGTGGAGCAACACCGACGCATCAGTAAGAACACCAACACGTTCACACGACAGCTCAAACAAGCACAACCTCCGAAACAGCAAGGCGAAAACTAACCATGCCACCGCCTTGTAGTTATGTACCTGGTTTGCTTCCTTGAGCATGCGGTGCTCCTCCTCCTTCGCCCTCATCTGCTTTATTGTGCCCGCGTCTAGGTTTGCGGTGGCCTTCTTGAGCTCCTTCGCGGCCTCCAGCAGAGTGCGGGGCTTCTTGCTCCCTTCCGCCCCCGGTCCCGCCGCCGCCTCCGCCGCGTCTTCTCCTCCTCCCTCTCCGTCGCCAGCGGCGGAGGATATCGCCGCCGCCGCACGCTTGCTCGCCATCCGCTCGTCTTCCTCCCTGTTTGGAGGCCGAACACACTCTTAACGTGAGACCATATGCTGGGATGTGAGCAAGGGGGCTGGCTGCTGCTGGTGCCTAGGGTGGCTGAGCGGCTATAAGACTACATGTACAAATCCTACCTCTCTCCCGTTGCACAGCGCAACCCCAGCAGCTACGACGGGCGGCAGGTTTAGTTTATAACCCCTAGCCCTCCTGTTTCACGGCGGGCGACACGTTTAGTGTACAACCCCTAGCCCTTGCGTCGCAAGGCGGGCGACAGGTTCAGTTTACAACCTACAGCTTGCAAGAGCCCGCTCACGCTGTGGCCGTCCCGATCCCCGTAGACGCTGCCGTAGCCGATGTATCAATAATTATCTGAACCGGTTTATACGCCGCCACTCAAGCAACAAAATAACAAAGAGGCATACGCACCTCTCCTGTTCTAGCCTCGCGCGCTCCCTGTCCCTCCGGTTCTTGCCGAGCTTGCCCGCCCTCCTCTCCGCCTCTCTTCGCCTCCGCTCCTTGAGCGGGATGTACTCATCGTAGCCCTCGTCCTCCCCTGCTAGAGCCTCGAGTCGGGCGTCTTTGCCTGCCGCTGCGGACTCCTCCTTCCTTCGACCGTACAGCTTGACGGAGGTCCCGGGCATGATGGCGTGCGAAGGGTGAAGGTCGGCGAGTGTGCCTGCTGACCGCCGTGCTGGGTGTCTTTGTCTGTTGTTGCAGTGCGCTCAGCCCTGTTGGTCAGTCCCTCTGCTTGGTCAAGCAGGAAAAACAAAATAATTGACGGGGACAGTCTTGCAGATATCTCCCTCCTCGAGCAGAGAGGAAAACTCACGATGCACACTACCCGTTGTATGGTCGTAGACTCTTCCTGGCCCACACCGACACGAAGCGAGTGCTGTGCAGTCAGCAGTGTGAGTCGCACCGCACCGCGCTGCAGGCTTGGGGGGGATCGTGGATGAAAAGTGGGTACCTGCAGCAATATCTGTTAGCATGCACGAAGCCCCCTTGTCGTTTCCATGTCTCCATCACACACACAAACGCCTTATCGAGGTGGCGCCCACACACCGCACCGACCATGAGCCCTCAACGTGCATGCCGCCTCTTGGCGACATTCATGGGCACCGCAGGAATGGCTTCGGCCTTCCTCGGAACCCCGGTTGCGTTATCTTCGGCTGCATCAAGACCAACAGGTGAGACCCAAGTTTTGCCGTGATGCTGCTGCTTGTTGACTTTCCCACGTTGAAGGATTGCTCTGCCTCTTCTTCGGCAAAAGGCTGGTCCTATCTGTCTACCGCGCGCTGCTGTCTCGTCATGTGGCCGCGTGCTGCTGAGGCCTCATTCCGCGAGGGGCAGCGGCCTCCAGATTGCGTGTTGTAGGATGCCGACTTGCTGTTCGAAATACGGGTTCTACATGACTTTCCCTCCAGGTGCGGCTGGATGCAACGCGTGTCCACACACGCAACTCCATCGTGTACATACACTCCCTGCCGTGGACAAGCATCGCTAGCGCCACCCCAGCAACTCGCCACCACCACCACCATCAGCAGTCGTCGCCCGCGCTGCTTTGATAATTATTTTTGGGGTCGGGCGAAAATCTCGGCGAAAGGGCCTCGTATGCGCAATGGGCACATCTACAATCTTGGTGGGAGGCAGTGACTCTCTCCATGCTCTCTCGTCGTGTACAAAATGCAACAATGCACGTGCTACTGCTGCACAGCAGCAGTAGGCCGTATGCATAGCCAAGGGCTACAGAAGACACCAGTTGTGCTCTCCAACAACGGGCTTCGGCACAACGTGTGTGTGTGTCCCTCCTCGTGCCGACCTCCGTCTTCCCAAGGAACGGCTAGCTCGTAAAAGCGAAGTCGATTTTGTATCGGCACTCAACGAAGGGATGGAGCGTTCTACCCCGCTGTATCGCCCCGCCACCCTTGGCCCTTTGTGTGCAGTCTTGGGCAAGGAGTACCCGCGGAGATAATTATAGAAGGGCGTGACCCCTGTAGTTTTTTTGTCCTTTGTGTTTTCTCACGCCCCAAGCACGCAGCTGGACTAGAAGCTCCGAAGTGCTCTTTTGCACGGATGGTATGCATACGTACACACCCAGCGCCATGATCAACTCCTCCGCCTTTTTCATTTTTACACCCCCGGTATACTACCAGCAGTTGTGTGTATGCAGCTCGGTACTGCTGCTCTTGTGGTGAACCTGACTTGATGCGTGTAGCATGGCGGTTCACGACGAACAAATCTTGCTGTCAAACAAACACCACCGTGTCCCTCTCCGTCACTGCCAACAACGGTAAATATCGAGGTGCCGTCCGTTCTTCTCACGCACACCGTTTCCACGCCCCTTGTTTGACGTCGCAACCGCAGTGGCGTCAAGTTCTGTGAGGGCACGAGGGAGATGCGCACCAGGAGCGGTGTCGGTGTCCATGGGGCTGGTGGACGCTGTTCCCGACAAGCTCAAGAACGTTTTCGCCTCCAAGCCAAAGCCGACGTCGAGAAGGTTTGCCGTTAGCGCTGTTTGTGTCTTGTTGCACTGATATAACTCCGTACAATATAATACAAGTAAATAGTTATCGAGCGTCGTTGTCGTCGGCATCCTTGTTGTGGGTGATGGTGCTACTGGTGCCATCGTCGTCGTTGTTGCTGCTGTAGGTGGTGGAGATGTTGTCATCGAGCGTTGCCGTTGTTGCAGGTACAAGTGCTGCTGTTATCGCTGCGGCTGTTGTCAAGTTTGTTGTTGTTTCTTGCGTCGTACTATCTAACTTTGCCCCTGCTCGTGAGCCATTATCAAACCGTATACGATACCCGGAGGCTTAAGGTCGACATGGACGCTGACTACCGTAAGGATGCGAGAGAACGCGCGGGAGTGCGATCGATTTTTACATGATTTCGTGCTAGAAGTATTTACGCACGGGAGTGCGATATCCCCAGTACGTGCGATAGCTGACCGATCCCCGCGCGTTCTGTCGCATCCTTACGGTAACAATTTTTTTTGCCGCCTGCCACTCCGCCACCCCCCCCCCACACACACACACACGCCAGGGGGCGCACGGAGGGAGCGGAGCTGTACCGAACGCTCGGGGTAACCCCGGATGCGGACTATTTGGAGGTGATGGAGGCGTGTGACCGGCTAAAGGTCAAGTACGCTTCAGACCGCAAGCAGGTGGGTTTTGATACACGCTGTCGCGCTTCTGCACACACGTCATCGTTGTGCGCTCTCTCTGGTTTGGGCTAGGGTTAGCATCTCTTGCCCGCTCCCCTCTGATGCGCGTTAGAGTTGGGGTTGTTGGTGGATCAGCGCCTGTTGTCCGCTCTCTCTGATGCGCCGTGCTGGAAGGAGCATTCGAAAACGGTCAGAATTGGCTGGTGCCTTGGAGAGTGTTTTGCCTACGGGACGCCGCATTGTGATTGAATGAAGAACACGTCGTGTAGTAGCGTTTGAGATTTTTTTTTCGTGGTGCTGGTCGGGTACGTACGGGTTTCCGTATGGCGGAGGGAAGTCAGTATTGCTTGTGCGAGACCGGGTGGCACGGGCAGGGGGGTTAAGTTAAGGACGTGTGGAGCGGCTCGAATCCGAACACCGCCGTATAGATTGCAAGCTCGTATCGGATACGCACAAGATGCAATATGGATGTGTGGGATCCTTGCTGTGGTGACAGGAGGAGATTTTTTGTCTGTGGGTGTTTTTGTTCTGTGTAGTACACGTCGACGGCCGTGCCTTCGGGCGACAGCAAGGTAAAGTTATGAACAAGGAGGAAAGCGGATCGTAGATGGAAATGAGTGTGAATGTATAGGCAGAGAGAAAGAGCTATCTAGCGAGGGAATAGAGTCAAATACAGAATATGTTATTGCAAGCGGAGAGCGAGAAGAGAGAGAGA